CACTGCCACCAGCTCCCAACATTGGGGCTTCACCCCAGCTCCAGACCCTACAAACACCTCCAGGAGAGCAAAGACCTGAATATCTGATGAAGGAAGAAGAAGAAGGATTGCTTTATTTTCCTCTGCTTCCCCACAGGTAAGCAGTGCAGTGCTCAGCTCCATGGGCACAGGGAGGGAGCGACCTGTCTGCTTGTTTTTGTGTTTTATTCAGGATGAATCATGGCGCTGAGCCTGGCATTAATAAACCTGACAGATCCTTGCCGGGTGTAATTGCAGCGGTTTTGATAATGAAGGCATTACTCCAATGAGCTTGGGGCAAAACTGTCTCCTGATGGCTGAGACATCGCAATGGAGAGCGATGATGCGCAGCTGACTTCCCCGGTCCAGGCACCCCTCAGTGAAAGATGACAGGTGCTCTGCCTCCGTGGGAGCAGAAGCATAGCTGGTGGTGGCATTGCCCCTGGGTGGCCGAATGGGGGGTCAGCAGCTCCCCCCAACACACCCTCCCCTGCTTCAATCTGTAACCAAGAGCTGGCAGGTTTAACCCTTTAAGCCTCACCCAAATCTGGGGACAAGATGTGTGTCCCCCCCCTGCAGCAAGTCCCCGTGCATGGGGATCAGCTGGTGCCGCGGCAGCGAGTGGGGGTGCGTTGGGGGGACCCTGCAGCACATCGCTGACCCTGGAGCAAGCATGACGCAGGCTTCGCACTGCCTTTATCCACAGCAAAGCAACTAAAATACCCCCGGAGTTTCTCCAGCGTATAATCTCCTGCCTATGTAGAGGGCATATTCCTGCCTATGTACCCGGCGCATGGCTGGCCGGCATGGGAGGCGGTGGGGTCAGTGCTGGTGGTCCGGCTGGTGGTCGGTGGTCCCCGAGCCGCTCGGGTTGTTGGGTACCTGTACCTGGAACTTCTTGGTCAGCAGCTCCTCTTGGGGAGGTGGCAGGGGCCGCTTCAGCCCCTTGGTGGAGGAGCCCGATGTGTCTTCTGTGTCGTCGAGCTGCGTCCCCGACCCATACCGGGGCTCCGGGGGCGGACCAGCCCTGCTCCACTCCTGGCCTTCTCCCGCTTTCCTTATTAACACCCTAATTAACAGGAAGAAAAGCAGCCATAGACAGTGTGGCGTGAATGCTGGCCAGGGAACCAGAACTAAAATACTGAGAAGGCAGTGCCAGTGTATCTCAATTAATAGCTAAATAACAGACGGTGACCACGTTTAAAACGCTCGGAGGCCTGTGGGTGCCTCTCCTGTAGCACGTGTGCATTAAACAGTTGCCGTAGGGAGTGTATTGCAGCATTTAAAAAAAAAAAACAACAGAGTAATAAGTGCTGGTCGTTCTGTTGGCACGCTGGGATTTCTTGGATGCTTCTTAAACCTTTTTTATTTTTTTAAAAAAATCCTTTAAAATTCTTTGCTCGCAGTGCCTTTGTACCTTGCTGAACCCTGGCTGCTCGTGGCCCTCACTTCTCCACGCCTTTGCTAACGAGCAGGCTCCATGTTCTGCTTTTCCAAGGTCTTGTATTACAAACGCCTCGCTTAGCCCTTCTGACCCGATCCTCCTCTGCCGGTGGCCTCGGGGGGGTTGTGTTTCCACAGATCTAATGCTTTGTGTTCATCTCGTGTGCCCGTGGGTTTAGGTTTATGTTACATAATGCTGCAAAATGTTCTGTATGTAATGCACGTGCACCCCTGATCTTCTTATTGCCAGTCCGGTCTTTTTCAGTAAATTAATCCTTCTCTTGATGCGCGTTTCTCATTTGTGCTCATTAACATGGAAAGCTGACAAATTCTGGCACTTCACCATGTTTAATTTTAGATGATTTTAGGCTTCTGAGACTCTAGAAGCTTGTTGGCTTCTCTTGAAAACACGTTTCTGCAAACATATTTGCCCTTTGCTTCTTTCTTGGAGTTGAGAATCTCCACACGGATGGGTCAGTGTGGTTCGACTGTCTCACACATCGTGTGTGTGACGGTGACCTTGATGGACCCCACTGAAAAGTGAGGCACCTGCCTGGCTCCTGTGGCGCTTCTGCGTGGCTGGAGCAGTTTAGAGTCTGGTCTCCAATAAGAGATAAAAGCGTTAATATGGAAAACAAATGGGGATAAAGAAACGTAGCAGCAATTGAAAACTGCATCCACAGTTCAAATTCTTGTGGTCTTTTTAATTTTTCTTCAGGATCCTTTTAGTCTAACCAAGTTGTTCCTTTGTTTAAGACTAAAGGGAATGGTTTTGTTTAGGGCTCAGTGGAAAGAGACTTCAGTTTTTCAACTTAAAGATGGTATTTGAGAACCTCAATCTACGCTTTTCTCAAACTGAGATTTGCTTTTTCTCTCTAGGATTTGCTTTAGGGGGAAAAAAGTGTTCTCCCTGAAACAGCTGGCATCTGAGGGCTTTTCAGCACAGTCCTCTCACTCCCTGCCTGTGTGCAGGAGCATTTACAGTGGAGTGCTCTTGCTTTGAGCTCAGCTGTGCATGTGATTTATTGGAGAAAGCAGGGTCAAAGGTCTGGTTTGGAGCTGGAGGAGGATGGAGAATGTCCTTACAGACAGCGGAAGAGCATTATAATTCTGACTTGGTCTGTCATTTACTTTTCCATTGCCTAGTTACGTAGATAAATGAAAATATTTTCATGGTTGGAGAAGCATTACATACACCAGAATTGCAGCTGAAATGTCAGATCATGTTAACTTTTGTTAAAAGTCTGGATTGCATTCAGATGGAGCTGTCATTTAATGAGACTCAAGATATTCCTTGAACTTGTTGTGGTTTGTTCCGGTATATTTTATGTAGAATTAGGATGCTGCTTTGCAGTGTGTTGTTCACTATGATCTTCAAAGCAGAAAAGTGCATCTGGAAGGATGTCAAAAATACAACCCAGTTTGGGAGTTTCTTCTTTTAAATAAAACTTTGTAATCGGTCAGCGTGAGTGCTTTGTGCTAGATTAAGAAAGAAAAAGTGACTAGCTATATCTGACTTCCTCTGAAGTAGAGCTTCAGACTGGCAAGGTCATATCTGGTGTATGACCTCTCTGCAAATATTAGTGGAGTGAAATTACCAGTGGGGAAGGAAGCAGTCTCTAGGCAGGGCTGTGTTCTGCCCGTAAGGCAGAGTGCTTGGGCTTTGCAGGGAGGACCCAGTACAGCTCTGATGTGGGTGGAGCTGGCTGTACCCTAGGTTTTAGTGCCTTTTAGAAAACTATTCCAACTTTTCTGGGTTAAAAAAAAACCCTAAAGGAAAAAAATAAGCAATTTGATAAAGAGTACTGTTGAGGGAAGCAATGAGTTCACAATCATAGGAGCCTTATTTGTCCATTGGACTACAATCCACTTCCGTGCTTTATTAATTACCAAATATTAGTGCAATTACAGCCTTGAGATCCAGGAGTTTTATCTTGTGTAGACACAGAAACAGCAGTGATTTTTTTTTTTTTTCCTTTCTCCTTCAACTCTTCACTAGACTGCTGGAAGAAATAGCTCTCGGTCCTTTGCTTTTGAGAACCTTTATGGTTGGGCTTAGGTCATTTTGCAGAGATTCCTAAACCCACTTCAAAACAAGGCTTCATCTGCTCTGAACTCATGGTGGAATCAAAGACCTGCAGCTTGTTGCTATTGAGTCATCCATCACAGTCCGTTGGTTGGGAAGTCTGCTTTTCCTGGATTACAAAATTAATTCAGAAGCAGGAAGTTACTCCAGAGTAAACCAGTATATTCATCTTAAGTGGATAGTGGTATAGCTAATAGGGTATAGGGTTTTACTTCTGGCAGGAATGCCACTGGAAAAACTGATTCATGTAGTTAAACTCAGTGCACAGACAAGTCCTGTGTATTTGAGAAGGGTTGCTTATGGGAAACAGAATGATCTTGCTACTTGGTTGCAATGACATCTGTTGATGAAGTACATGTATGTTGTTTCTCTGGCTGGCTTGCCTCTGGTAAGAGGGAAAATTCATGTATTGTACAGAAACTGGGATCCCAGAAAACTTCTCTTAAGGACTGGTTATACAGAATTATTTTTCTCTTTCATTAAATCCTGCTCTGACCAAAGGGTCAGGGAACACTTTGGAAGTCTGATGTGGAAGAGAAAATATACATTTTGCCACAAAACAACCAATACCTAGTGAGCTATATTAATCCAGTGCTTATCCAGGCTGAGGACTGATCTGGACTGACTGTAGTGTGTGAAATATATATTTTTTTGGCTTTTGGTCAGTTGGTCAGGGCTAAAGTACAGTTGTGCAGTTATTTTCTGTTTGTTCAAAGTCTCTTCCTTTCTTTTTGCATTCAGCTGTACTGCATGCCCGCTGCTACTCTCATGGGTCACAAGAAACAGATGAAGAATTTGATGCTCGCTGGGTGACGTATTTCAACAAGCCAGATATTGATGCCTGGGAGCTCAGGAAAGGTATGTTGAGTGAAAAGGGAAGAGTAACATGGAGTAATTATAGCTGCTTTGTAATAGCTTTGTGACCAGAAATAACTTACTTTCACTTTATTATTGGAGAGCTGAAATAGTGAAAACTGGGAGCTGGTGTAGGGTCAAGGCACTGTGCGAGCCTTATTTGCTCTGAGTTACCTGGCTGCTCCAGGCGTGCCTTTGGCTGGCGTGCTGCTGTTTGCTCAGCTCTGAGCCTGTTGCAGCAGGCAATGGCACCTCAGCAACCAAACAAGTGAGTTGGAAGGAACTATGGTATGCAGAATGAGGGAGAGCAGGGGTACAGGGCAATGGGAGTGTAGGCTTTGTAAGTTTTCATGCCCCATAATATGCATTTTAACACCTGGGTGGGAGAGAGAAAAGCGTTTGCTCTGAGGAGAGAGAGTGTATTTGAGCTCATCTGTTGCTTAGTGTATAACCACACATGTTTTTCTTTGGACTTAATGGCTTGGCCACAACTCACTGTAGAGTGTTTGTCTAGTTGTCTCCAGTTGTTATTTGTTGTGGAGTTGCCAGCTCCATAACATAACAGCCAGAGGGATCATTCCAGCATCACTTGGGTGATTAGGTGTTGGGCTCTTCCCTTGGAAAGGAGAGGAAAGGAATAGAATTAAGCAAGTTCTAATTTCATTACACCTGTAGGAATGAAGTCGTTTGGATTTCTTAATGATTCAATAACTGATGGGCTGTGGTACAGACACTGACTCCTTTTGGGAGCATGGATGAAACTGGCCCACTGGGATTTCATGAAATCCACTTAAAATTTTAAAATCTACAGTAATGAGCAACAGTGAGAGGGAGAAGAGCAAAAGAAAACCCTTGGCTGTGTGTGTGTGTCTCCCCAAGATCGCAATGAAAATTGTAGTCAGCTTCTAATGGCAACTAGTGTTGCAATAATACTGCATTCTTTCATGAGGTGGAGCGAAATAATGCTCATCAGGTTCCTTTTGTTAGCATGATGAGCTGATACCAAGTTCCTCTTGGTGTTTCCTTATATCCACAGGCATAAACACACTTGTGGGTTATGACCTGGTTCCGGAACCAAAAATCATCGATGCAGCTCTGAGAGCGTGCAGACGGCTAAATGACTTTGCCAGTGCTGTCCGCATCTTAGAAGTTGTAAAGGTGAGTGGAATGGCAGCCTCGGGTGTAACTGCTGTGTTCACACTGCTGAGAGCCCAGCAGGAGAAGAGGTTTTCTTGGCTTACTGTTAGTGGTGCAAAGGGAAACCACAATTTCCTGCTGCCATAATCAATAGCTTCATTATAAGCACATGCTTGGTGGCTGGAAATAAGTGTTTTGAGATGAGAATACTGAACAGGACAGTTTCAGTTATAACAGCCATATGTTCATGTTTTCCTTTCCTGATGCTGGCTTAGGTGGGAATGTCTTTAGGGATTTTTCTTCCCTTTTTTGAAAATAAGCATTACTAGAAATATCTCTGGTGAAGGCAGCTTACTGGCTTAAAGGACTGAATACTGAGCTGGCTGGGAGTAGTAACTCAGGAAGCTGCACAGCCTTGAAAAACAACATAAACCAGCACCTTGAAACCTGAATCCAGCCTTCACTTAACAGGGAGTTAAGCGGGTGGGGATGGAGGCAGGAGTTCTGTGTCAGTCACAGAAGCCAGCAGCTCTGCTCTTACAACTGTTTTTTGCCACATGAGGACTGGTGTGGAGGTCTTTGCTGTCAGCTGTCAGATACACTTGCTTCAAACTTTACTCCACAATCAGTTGCTTCTCAGTCTGCCATTTCTGCTTTCTGTGTTATTCTGTAGAACTGAAACTTTCAGGGGTTTGAGAGATGTAAGACCAATGGAAGCATCTTTGTATGTTTTCCTTATCTCTTCCTCCCCCCCCTTCCTTTTGTCCTCATCACCTAGGTCACGACTCAGTTTATCAGAACCTGGGGACAAGTATATGCTCTTTAAGCTCCACCTGGGTATTACTCAAGGGGTGATGTTTTTCCCCTGATTTCCAAACAAGTTAACTTTTCCCCAAAGTCTGCCCAAAAGCTAATTTTATTTTTCCCATTTTACTGATTGGATATATTTTTTATCACGTTTCCTAAGGTCTAAGTGGTCTTTGGGCTGGTTTGCAAAGCATCCCTCATTGAAGGAGTGTGCCTTCGCCTTTAGTTTTGTGTGGTGACACACACATGTCATGGGTCACATCAGCCTAATGTTAAGTGAGGGAAAGGTGTCAAGTGTTAAGAATAATCTGCAGATCCCCCAAAGGGGAGTTCAGCATTATTTTGGGGTGCTTTGCAGCCATGGTGAATTGGTAGGAGAACTTTCCAGTACTGCTGTACACAAGCCTTATTTACTTGGTGCCCAGGTAAAGCTGGGCCATGCTCTGCTGTCCTGCAGTAGGTGGATCAGACCACAGACCCTTTTGTCTTGATTGCAGACCTGAGCGCTGTACAGTGGACCTTGACAACAGCTTGCTGTCAAAATAACATCATTCCTTTTCATTTAGGACAAGGCAGGACCTCACAAGGAAATCTATCCTTACGTTATCCAGGAACTTAGACCAACTTTGAGTGAGCTGGGAATCTCCACTCCAGAGGAACTGGGCCTGGACAAAGCGTAACTTTATCGGTAAGGGGTGCCATTGCTTCTGAGACTCCTGGCATGGGACTCCTGTACTCAAAACTCTCCTGGCAAAGACAGAGTTCTCTTCTTTGCCTTCATGGGTCTGAAATGCTGTGGGGTTCAAGCTTGTAACGTGATTCTCCAGATATATCTGTAACTACAAGTCTCCTTGAAAAGGTACTAACCCTTTTCAGATAAGGCTTAGAACATGAACAGTCTGGTTGCTTGAGAAGGGATAGGGTGGTTGGCAACATACCCAACCTCCCAGAAGTTTCTACATAGCAGTTGCTACAACAACAGGTATTGCAGCATTTTGTTGGCAGCACATCGACCTTTGCTCCTCATCAGCTTGTCCCCCAGAAGCACTTTTAGCAAATGCAGGATTGTTTCCACTGGAAATGCACAAACTTTCACTCTGTTGTCACAGTCTGGCCAGTTTAGAAAACTGGGACACTAATTACTAGCTTATGCTAGAAAATGGGCCCCACTGATGATAGTCACCCAACAACACTGAAGTTTCTTCATGTTACACTTAAAATAGCATCTTTTTTCTGTAATTAAACACCACTTTGGAGGGCTTCTCTCCTGCAGAATGAACAGATCAGCTGTAGCATAGCCAGAGCTTAACTGATCTGTGCGTAGAATTTAGCCTCAGTAGATAATTTCAGGGGCAGTGCATGTAGTATTTCGTCCTGATTGCAGTGGCCTCAAGCCTCGGAAAGCCACTCATTTTGCTGGCTTTTTAGACCTGAACTTCTGAGTACTTGAAACCAGCTATAACAATGACATTTAGATCTCCATCATAAATACCAGCTTCTTGCATGAGCTGCAACATATGAAGGTGTTGTTACTAAACAGAAGCTTCTCTGATAAATGAGCATCTGTCATTAAGTGTAGGCAAGACCTAATGTGCTCTAATCCCAGACTAAAATTAAGCCCTAAATAAAAATCTTTGTGGAAATGAAGTTATGTAAAGGCAGTCTTTTAACTCAGTTTCTTTGGGAGATGGCCAGTGTCATATTCTTTTTTTTTATAATGTGCTTAGAATAGAGGTATCAGGTGTCAGACTGCAAATAGTACTTAGTTCTGGATCTTTAAGTGCCTGCCCTCCTCCTTGTACTGGGACATGGTGTCTTGGTGCAAGGGGGTACTGTGACAGCTGTACTGGCAATGCAATGCAGTAACTGCATATGGGGCCTGAGTATGATTAAACTGGGCTTTGAGTGTAAATAAAAATAAAAAAGAGGGAGACCTCATGGCCCTCTACAGCTCCCTGACAGGAGGGTGCAGAGAGGGGGGATGAGTCTCTGGAGCCAAGGAACCAGCACCAGGCCCTGAGGGAATGGCCTCAAGCTGCCCAGGGCAGGGTCAGGCTGGCTCTGAGGAAGGATTTCTGTGCAGAAGGGGCTGTTGGGCGTTGGAATGGGCTGCCCAGGGCAGGGGGGGAGTCCCCATCACTGGCGGGTTTGAAGAGTCAGGCTGACCCAGCGCTGAGGGATCTGGTGGATTGGGAACAGTCAGTGTGAGGTTCATGGTTGGACTGGAGGAGCTGCAAGGGCTTTTCCAACTGAGATGATTCTGTGAAATAACTCATTTGAGACCTCATGAAAACTCTGTGGAGATAACTGAGCTGCTCCTTTAATGGCTTTTCTGTTCTGTTCCAGGTGCATTACTCGAGCATTTTACTGATGCTACCTGATTGTACACAGTCACCTGAAGACACAAATGTTAAAATATTACCTTATTTGAAAGAACTTACTCCTTTATTGAGTCACAATATATGTGATGTGAAGTTGGACCTAATAAAGGAAAAACTGGTTTGACTGATGTGGTAGTAGTGGCTTGTGTGGTTATTTCTTTTTGTTTTTATGGGGAAAGAAAGACATAAATACATAACTGTAAAAAAGAGTATATGCAAGAGCTTATAAATCATTATTTGCCTGGCAGAGCCTGCATCCGTGGCTCCTAGCTCCACCTTCGGGAAGGGAAAGGTAAGGAAGGACGTGTCTGGAGGGCATGGTGACCCTCCTGTACTCACAGCTTTGGGGAGGAGGAGGAGGAGGGCTTGCAGAACTCTGCCTGCCCTTGGCGCAGTCGGTTCACTGTGGCGAAGTCGGGGCTTAACGAAGCACCGAGGTGGGGGGCAGGCTCCTGTTGTCGGGGCCGCGCTCCTGCTGCCCTGCCTGCGCACCTGCCGGGAGAGATGTTACTCCCAAGAGCTTGTTTCCCACCTCGGCTCCGGTAAAAAAAAGGTGGGGGGGAAGAGGAAAATTCTTGAGGGAAAGAGGAAGCGGTTCCGTGTCGCGGAGCGAGCTCAGGGCAAGTACCGCGCGGGGAAGCGCTGCCCGCCGGCCTCACTACGCATGCGCGGCGGGGGCGCGCACCACCTCCCCGCCTCCTATTGGCTGGGGCCC